GTCAGTCGGGACTGGAGGCAGCAGAGACAAGAGTGCAGACATTCTCACACCTCCCGTCTCGCCAGGTAACGACATGCACAAGCAGACAGGGGCAGTCACTAGATGGGACCACATGTCAGTTAAAAGGAATGAGCCAGGTCTCCACGTATCCGCATGGAGCAGATACACAACAAACACGACTCAAACACAGAGCAGTGGGAGACCGCATCATGCTGAAAGCAGCCCTGTGGCCGACGTGAAGAGGCAACACAGGACGGCAGCACGGGGGCCGCGACGGGGCTGCTCGAGAGAGAGATGCAACATGAAAATGGGAAGCGTGGATTCTGAAAGGAGGGTGTTCGCTTTCAATTTCTTTGCTTTCCCAGGTTTCTCAAATGCTCATTTTTTTTTTAAAGATTTTATTTATTTGACGGAGAGACACAGCAAGAGAGGGAACACAAGCAAGGGGAGGGGGAGTGGGAGTGGGAGAAGCAGGCCTCCCGCCGAGCAGGGAGCCCAATGTGGGGCCCGATCCCAGGACCCTGGGATCATGACCCGAGCAGAAGTCAGGCGCTTAACGACTGAGCCACCCAGGCGCCCCTCAAATGCTCACGTTAAAGGAAGAACATGTGCAACAGAGGACCAGGGAGGGGTGTGTGCTCATGTGTGTATGCGTGAGCGTGTGATGTACGCAGCTGCAGGTATGCACTGTGCACATGTGTCTGGGTGTGTGCTCGTGTGTACACGTGGGCGTCTGTATGCGTACACTTAGTTTAGGACCAAGAGGACCAGGCGGAACTCTGAAGAGGAGAGAGGGAAAAGGGCAAGGAAACACCATGAAAGGGCAGGAACAAAAGGCAGACAGACCGGAAGATGGAAGGAGAGAAACCACCATCACCACTGGACTCTTCCTCCATGCCCCCCAGATACAGAACCCATCGAAGGGGCAGAGATGCCACCGCTATTCTCCACGTGGGGCGACGAGCTCAGAGGTGGTTCCCAGCCCCGCGTCTCAACCCCCTGCTGGGCCTCCCCTCCCGCGACGGGGACAGCAGCCAGGGGTGCTGTGGTGTCATGGTGTCATCTCGGGGCAGACTACAAAGGGCTGCTGTTCGCACACAATGAATGAGCCACATGGGAAGGCCTTCCCGATCAGATCGGCTGGAAACCCCTCTAAGGCCACACTCAGAAGCCTGCCAGAGGCCACGATTTTGGCCACAATTTGGCCCTGGCTACGCGGCACCGACATGCTTGAGGGCCGCACGACCTCCAAGGAACTCAGCCAGTTCACCTCCTCTGTAGCGGGGGGTATTCAGACTCCGTCCTCCTTACGGGCATCCCAGTGACCTGGAGAACCCACAAGTGGCCAGCCACCAAAATAAAGACCAAGGGAGGGGACCTCCCCTGGAGGCCTCCCCGCGCTCCCACACATGGCTCGGTTTTCTGATGTGGATGGACATGCGTGATCATCATCTTTTACAGACAAGGAAAATCAGAACCATGGGCTCCAGTCAGAGGCTGCTTCAGTGACGGCCGGGCTTCTGGGGTTCTTCTGTCTATTCTGCTTTCAAATGTCTGGCAGTATACATAGTGGACCACGATCATCACTTCCAACCCCCAAACAGAAACACTCTCAATCATATAAGTGAACTAACCCTGCTAAGGGGCCAGGCACCAGGACAAGCTCTCCAAAGCCCAGAATGATCCACACCCAAATCCCCAGAATCCCCCAGGAGGCAGGGCGAGGAATGGGGAGAGTATAAGTGGGAGCTCAAAGCTCTCCCAGAAGACACCTGCTCTCCCCTTAGCTACATACTCACAAATCCCAAGTTTCATCGAGACCAAAGTCTGGGACCCTACCACAGATCGAATGTTCATGTTTCCTCCAAATTCACATGTTGAACCTCACCCCCAATGTGGTGGTACTGGGAGCTGGGGCCTTCCGGCAGCGACCAGGTCATGAGGAGGTGCTCTGAGGGCTGGAATCAGCGCCCTCTCAGGAGCTCCCTCCTTGCACTGCAGGTGCTCCCGACCAGCGATATGATGCCATCCCCAGCAACACACATCCCCACGCCTTGACCGCAGGGACAGCCACCACCCACCGCCCTGCAACTAGTGACTGCCCTGTGCTCCCACCTCACCCCGCACCACCTTCCTGGCCTGTCTCCCAGGATTCCGGAGCTTCCTCCATTCCCTGTGACCCAGGGGATGCTCCCACCCTGCCACTCAGTAGCAAGGCCTCCTACGGCCTCCCAGCAAGCCATCTGCCCACTCGATAGCACACCCTCCGCCCCCCACTGTCTTCAAGGTTTTTCTTCCTGTGCTGGTTGGTTCACACTCCAGGCAGGGGTCACAAGTTTGTCCACTATCCTGTACCCCAGCAACCACCACCCTGGCCTGCACACAGGAGCCTGATAAAAACCGGCTGAATGAACAGAGGTGAAGCATGGATGACAGCTTACTACTATTTGACAGTCGAGGAAATGGGAGGCACAGAGAGGTCACGTGACCTGCTCAAGCCCCAGCACCAGCCAGAGGTGGCGTCCTCACTGACCCTAGAGCTGCACACTCAACTACACCAACCCCCTGTATGTTCTACCCACACCCCCCAGCAATTCTCCAATTCCCAGTGCACACTGACTGGGTGGCCTACAAATTCAGCTCAATCCTGACACTACCCACCCAGAGACAGCATCAGATCCCACAGATTAAGGGCTCAGCCCCATACCACTGCCATCTCCCTTCAGATGCCAATCCCCAATCCAGTTGGTCACCTGTCAACTGGCTATAAACTGGACATTCCCATGATCCCCAATTAATTTGCTAGAGCAACTCACAAAACTCAGGGTAACAGTTCACTTACTAGATCTCCAGTTTATTATAAAAGGATAGGACTCGGGCGCCTGGGTGGCTCAGTCGTTAAGCGTCTGCCTTCAGCTTAGGTCATGATCCCAGGGTCCTGGGATCGAGTCCCACATTGGGCTCCCTGCTCGGCAGGAAGCCTGCTTCTCCCTCTCCCACTCCCCCTGCTTGTGTTCCTGCTCTCGCTGTCTCTCTGTCAAATAAATAAAATCTTTAAAAAAAAAAAAGGATAGGACTCAGGAAGAGCCAGACAGAGAGGCCCAGGACAAGACATGTGGGAAGGGTGCAGATGCTTCCAAACTCTCTCTGAGTGCTATACCCTCCTGGCCTCTCGCTGTGTTCACTAACCCAGAAGCAGTTTGAACCCAGGCCTTTTGGGTTTGCATGGAGGTATTGTTACATAGGCACGGTTGATTAAATCGCTGTCTGCTGGTGACCCTTTCAATCTCCAGCCTCTGATCACAAGGTTGGGTCCAAAGGCAGCCAGGACCCACCCTTAGGTGCTTTCCAAAATCTCCTCATTAACATAAATTCAGGTGTGGTGGAAAGGGGCCCGGTTACGAGTATCAAGACTCTGATTTCACTTCTATCACTCATTGCTTAGGAAATTCCAAGAGTTTTAGGAACTCTGTGACAGTAACAGGTGAAAACCGAAGATTTATTTATTTGCATTTTTTTTAAAGATTTTATTTATTTATTTGGCAGAGACAGCGAGAGAGGGAACACAAGCCGGGGGAGTGGGAGAGGGAGAAGCAGGCTTCCCGCGGAGCAGGGAGCCTGATGCGGGGCTCGATGCCAGGACCCTGGGATCATGACCTGAGCCAAAGGCAGACGCTTAACGAATGAGCCACCCAGGCGCCCCCAAGATATTTATTTCTTAGTATAAATCACAATGTCCCTGCCAAGTAAGCCATGACGTGACTAAAGGCTCTGCCCCCAACCCCCCCCCCCCCCCCCCGGCCCGCTAAGACACACAAGACCCGCTCAGCAGCCCCAGTAGGAGGTAGGGGAAGAGCTGAGCAGGCCTGTGCAATGGCTGGGGACAGTTCATGAACTCCACAGGCCGAAAATTCTTCTCATTCTGTACCAGGACAGCTGTTCCCAGTTACCAGTTTCCCGAATCTGCTGCCACTAAGCTCTGGCTGGGCCGGACCAATGGGATGAGAACATCACAGTCCCCAAAGAGTGATCTCAGGAAAGGAAAGCATCTTCAGGCTTGTGAAACTCCTGGCTAGGTGGGAGGCCCCACAGGCTGGAAGCAGGTTCCCAGAGAGAGAAAAGACTGACCCTAAGGGGGTCACCCACCTCTAATCACCCTGCTCCCTGATTCCCCCTGGGCCAAGGTCCTGCGTGTACACAGAACAGTGCTTCTCCACGCAGCCTAGGTGACCTAGGGCAGCCTAAGCTCTGTGGGCCTCAGTGTCCCCATCTGCAACATGGAGGCCTCAGTGAATAACACTGACAAGGACCTCTCAGGCTGCCCTATAATGCGTGGACATGGTAACGCAAAGGAGCCTTGCACAGGTGAAAAGATTCTGGTTCACTGAGTTCCAGAGTAAGTGGCTGCAGCCACCTTTTTTTGGGAGGAGGGGTCCTTCCCTTTTCTGGAAATAGCCTCCACCACCCAGTTTGGTGGTAGGCCCCAGCTGCCAGCAGACCATGCAGCTCCCACCCCCTAGACACTGCTGGCTGGCCAAGGTGGACACCTGACTGTGCTGGACCAACACGTGGATTCTCTCTCCTGCGGAACTGAACCAGAGACCAAAGGACTTGGTCCTTGAGGGCCCCAGATGGGTGGCAGTCAGCTTTGGACAAATCGCAGCAGAAGGATGCTGAGACCAGAGGGGACGAGAGGCTTTTGTGTTCAGTTGGCTTCCACTTATTGGCTTCCCACCCTTGGGTTCCAGAGACCCACCCCCCACCAGCTTTCCGGTACATTCTACCTCCTGCCTAAGCTAGTCTGCATAAATGCCATAGCGGCAGCCAATTTCCAAAGAATTAAAAATGTAATAAAAAGCACTTAGGAAAGAACTCCTGCAAATCAGTGAGAAAGGAGACAATCCAGTATGAAAAACATGCAAACGATTTCAACAGACACCTCACAAAAAGAGGAAGAGAAATGAATGGTAATTTCCATATGAAAAGGTGCCCAACCTCACCAGCCATCACGGAAAAGTAAATTAAAACTCCAAGAGCTTTCCTTGGCTAAAGTTAGACCACAACAAACCACACACAGCTGACACTCCCCAGTGTGGGTGAGAATGCACAGCAGTCAGCACCCTGCTCCGCCCATGGGAGTGTGAATGGGCTCAACAGTTCCAAAAACCTGTCTGCAAAACCTGCTGGAGCCAAACCCGCGCCTGCGGGCCTCAGCACCCACTGCCAGGTGCGACCGTGACCCAGAGAGGGTACTGGGGGTGGGAGAGGTCAAAAGTCGCTAACACCAAGAGTGCTGGCTGCCCGGGGCTGGGAGCGGGGAGCCAGGGTGTAAAGGGCACACGGGGGAAAGAGTCGTAGAGAAATGACGGTGGATCGGTGCATGGCTGCACAACAAGGTGAAGGTACTTAATGTCACTGAACTGCACACTTGAAATGGTTAGAATGGTCATAGTTACGTGTATTTTACCACAATCAGGAAAAACACGGACCGCAGGAAACCTGACTCCTGGGCACCAGAGCAGGCACGGGAGGCTCCATGGCAGCATTTTCCGTAGGGGCCCAAACTGGAAATGCGCCCAACGCCCCTGCACGTGAACGGATGAAGACACAGAGGCCTCAACAGGCACAGGGATGTAACACAGCAGAGACCAAATCGACTACTGCCCCCACGAACAGCGTTAGGGCCTATCATCACTGAGTGTGGAGCAAAGAGCAGCCAGTTATTTATATCAAATTCAGAAACACGCAAAATCACCTCTAGTGGAGTCGGAAGGGGTTTCCCAGGGAGGAAGGAGGCAGAGATTGGGAAGGGGCACCAAGGGGCTTGGGGGGCTGCTACTGTTGTATTCCTTCAATACGTTCACTGTGTGATCATTCATCAAGCTTATGCTTTGCACATTCTCTAAACACCTGTTACGCTTTAATGTTAAACATATATACAGTCCCTGACTTACAATGGTTCAACATACAAGTTTTAGACTTTACAATGGTGCAAAAGCGACAGGCATTCATTCAAACCCATACTTCAAATTGTGAATGTGGATCTTTTCCCGGGCTAATGATCTGTGGTGGGATCGGTGGGATCTTCTCTTGGGTTGCTGGGCAGTAGCAGGAGCCCCAGCTCCCAGTCAGCAATGCAGCCACAGGGTCTACAACTCATACTCACCGCCCTTCCGCACCCAACCATTCTGTTTCACTTTCAGTACAGTATTCAATAAATTACATGGGTATCGAACACTATTATAAAATAGGCTTTGTGTTAGACGATTTTGCCTACCTGTAGGCTAACGTAGGTGTTCTGAGCACATTTAAGGTAGGCAAAGCTAAGTTACAATGTTCAGTAGGGGGGCACCTGGGTGGCTCAGTCAGTTAAGTGGCTGCTTTCCGCTCAGGCCATGATCCCAGGGTCCTGGGATCAAGCCCCTCACCGGGCTCCCTGCTTGGTGGGGAGCCTGCTTCTCCCTCTCCCTCTGCTGCTCCCCCTGCTTGTGCTCTCTCACTCTGTCAAATAAATAAAATCTTAAAAAAAAAATGTTCATTAAGTTAGGTGTATTCAATGTATTTTCGACTTCCAGTCTTTTCAGCTTACGATGGGTTTATGGGCACACAGTCCCATCAAGATCTGAGGAAGATCTGTGTATGTGTGTATACACACACACATTTCTTAAGCCATGAACCAAACACAATTCCTTCTTTTGATTCCCCCTAGAGGAACCCAGGGAGTCTGGTCACTCGGGGATATCATCTGGGGCAGGAGGTGTGGATGACAGAAAGCTGCAGTTATCAGAACGGTGGACGCCAGGACCACCTGGTGGGGGCCAGTACAGCAGTCTGCCCGCCCTGCGGGTGCTGAGCACCCAGGACCAAGTGGGAGGGCCTGAATCAGTATCAGGCAGGAGGAAAAGACAGAGGAAATCCTTCAGACACAGAGGTGGAGAGATGTTCCATCAGTCACTCCTCAAGCCTTGTGCCTCCTCACCTGGCTCTATCACTAAGCAAGCTGAGGAGGGATTTTGGGTTAGACAGCACAGGACCCTCTCCCACGAGGTTCCAGACCATGTGCTTTTCTGCACATGGCAGAGGGCGTAGGCCTCACTCCTCCTCCCTCTCACTCCCACCCTGGTGGGATGGCCACCCCCTGCGGCACAGGCCGGGGCTAAGCCCAGATCCCCCATCTCTGAGGAGCTGGGCAGACGCAGGGGCAGCTGGTGGAAGTAAACAACTGTACGGTTATTGACGGAGGCCGCATCAGGCGCTGCATGGGGCACAGAGTGCCTGTGACACCATCTGCCCTTTTATGGGACACCATTTTATGGAATAACACAGAATAGTGAGGCTGCATGACAACATAACCACACAGGAAATGGAACATGGCCCCATGCAAATGTCTGGTCTGGGCCGCACTGGGTTTGGGAGGAGAAGTAGACGGCAGTGGTCACTGCCTGCCGGGATCATCCAGGAAGTACAGGACATCCTCCAGGAAACTTCTGGGCCTGCTGAAAAACAAAGGTTGGGCAGAGCAGGGCGTGGTCTCACCCTGCCAGCTCCCGTGGACTCTCAGAGTCAGATCTGGAAAGAGGCCTGGGGCACCAGAGGTTCACCCCAGTGAGTCAGGGAAATGGGGCCAGAGAGCAAGCTCCTGGCTCAAGGCCATAGACCAGGGCCAGACTCGGGCCTCAGGACTCGGAATCTAATGCTCCTCCCACCGCACCTCTACTGGCTGGGGGTGGGGGGCAGAGGACTGCTCCTGGGTTCAATCTCCTGTGCTAAACTAATTCTCAACTTTCCATGTCTGTGGATGGGTGTGTTGTAAACACAATAAAGGTCACCCCAACTGTGAGGAAGAAGACACACACATGCGCACACAGACCCATAAGCACCCACACCCTCTTTACCCCAGGTGGCTGGGCCCTGGGAGCCATGGCAGGCTGTGGAATGGCAGCAGCCACCTCCCCGGGCAGGGGTAAAAGGCCCACTGGCTCTGCGACCAGACCAGCACAAGCTCGGGCTTTCCTCACCGGGAGCGCCAGGCCCTATGGGCCTGTGGAGTTGGCCCATGCACGGTAAAGTCCAACAAAGCCCAGGGCAGGAAGGCTGGCAGGAGCTGGCTGACAGCCAGGTTATTTTCAAGTCAACAAAAGGTGACAGTTTCTCAACGATCCCCAGAGAAACTATGAAAGGTCCCCAGAGTCGCTGTGCCCCGACACACGCCCGGAACTGAGTAAACGATACAAGACCTCAGAAACAAGCACACCGAGCTCCCAGCCCCACGGGCAAACAACACTCCAACGGGGAGACCCACCAAATCTCAGCTCCCCACGGCCCCAGGGCCCGGGCACCGATGACAGGCTTCTAAACCCCAGCGACCCCAGGCTGCTTCTTCCCGGAAGCAGGGGCTCAGATGCCCACCCACCACGGCCCATTTAACAGGCTTCTTGCTGCTTTTGTTTTTACCCGAAGTATTAACAACTGAAGCTCAGAAAATACAGTTTATTTACGCAGCTATTCCAATGATAAAACCCAAACCCAGTTAACAAGAGCAGAAGCACAGAACTAGTTCTCATCTGTGAACGGCACAGGGGACATGGGGAAGCTGAACGGGAATCCAGTGGAGCCGCACCACGCTGGTGATGACGGTGCAGGTCTCTGAGCAGGAAGGTGAACCGCCCGGGTGCAAGAGCCCCCTTCTCCCCACCCTCCATCCTACTGCCACGGGGCTCAGCACAAGCTCACTCCCTTGGACAGGGATGGCCCAGAGACCCAGAATGCCCCCGGTGATAGAGAATGTCCTCTCTCATCTGCAACACCAGCCTCGGCTCTCTCCTTCAGATGCCAAAGAAATCAGTCAGCAAGGCCCTACTCTGCAAAGGGTAAACCCCAACACAAGTGCTCACGAGATGTTCCTAGACTGCCGGCAACACCAAAGTACACACCAAAAGTCTTGCACGCACCTTGGGCGGCTCCATCACATGGCAGGAGACCCAGGAGTCGTGAGACCCTGCCCGACACACCAAGGGATAAGATGCAGCCCAGTCTGAGCAGCCCATACACTAGGGAGATGGGGTTGGTTTCCTTCGGGGCCTGTTGCACAAGCATTTGTTAAGCGCCTACTGCACACCAGGCTCAGATACTGAGTGACAAAAGGCTCAGTCTGATTTCTAGTTCCTCCACCAGAGGACAAAAGTTTGGTGTCACAAGGATAAGGCAAGGCTCCAATAAGATAAAGGAGGTGAAAACATTCAGAAAGCACACGTACATACACAAGGTTTAGGTCTGGGGCGTATCTCCCCTCCACTCCGTCCCCTGCCTGGGTTGGTAGGTCACATGTCTGATTGCCTCCCCTTCCGACACTTCTCCTGGGTCATGACCCGGTCCCAGCACGACCTTCCTCAAACACCAGCACAGGGCAGACAGCATCACTCTGAGACACACAATTAACAGTAATAACCTCAGTAGGAGGTCTGACTGTGGCAGCAGCTGCCCACAGCCAGGTACTCCGCGTGAGCATCTGTTACGCTCCGGGCCCTCTCCTGCATGTCTGCACCTTCTCTGTACGGGCTCAGCCATGGTGTCCTCGCTCCTGCTCTGACCCTCTGCTGAAAACAGGCCAGCTGTGTGATCAGGGCAACGGAGTACAGAAATAAACCCTCACCGTTTATGGTGAACTGATTTTTTACAAAGGTGCAGAGGCAGCTGGATGGGACAAGAATAGTCTTCTCAACAAATGATAATGAAATAATTAAATATCCATATGCAAAAAAAAGACCTCATAGTTTTACCTGGAACTACACATGAAAACATTACCTCAATATGGATCACAGTGCTTGCTTCGGCAGCACATATGAAAATTGGAACCAAATGGACCACAGACCCAAATGCATGAGCTGAAACTGTAAAACTTCTGAGGAAAAAACATAGAAAATCTTTGTTACCTTGGCCTAGGCAAAGATCTCCTAGATATAACTCCAAAAACATTAACCACTAAAAAAAACTGATAAATTGAACTT